CAGCAGCAGAAATCCTGAACAGACCATCCAGGGAGAACCTTCCAACTAAATGAGGCTTGTTTGGCTTTTTGTGCTCAATAAAGGTCTTAGGTTTGCTCAGCCCGCTTCCAAAACAGCATTCGCCTTCTGCTAAGGTGGAGTTCTTTTGGACAAAAAGAAAAAAAAAATATCCAGAGCCTTCCTTTCCTCTTAACATTCTTACAGCTCTGCAGAGGGCAAGTTATGAAACTTGTTGCTCCACTGTGTGTAATATTTGCCCCAAATAGCACGCAACATAAATACTTTGCTGTGTTAATGCCACAGACACACAAGACTGTTCCAACAACTGTTGTCTATACCAAGTGGAGGTTCTGTCAAAAAATGGTTAGACAGCATATAGCACCGTTCAACACAACATCTGAATGGTTAGACAGTATACAGCATGGTTCGGCATAACATTTGTCACACCCTAATTGGTTTCCCCGTTGATGATTTAAGTGGACAGCTTGTACAAACAGCCACCCGATTCCCACTCCCCCCCATCTACTTTCCTCCCTATTTTACCTACAGAAGCCTAGTGAACATCTACTCACATCCTTCTGACACAGGCAAGCCAAAACAAACAAACATGAGAAATCCTCCAGAAGACACTAAAAAAAAAATTAGAGATTTTCTTTTTTTAAAATAAATTCTTAACATAACAAAAATTACAGCTTACTACAGTTTGCAAGCAGGACAATGTAAGTGACATCACCTGTGTCCTAAATCCTTAAGAGAGTACGAACCTGCTCACCAGTAATTTCCAGATTATTCTAGGAAATATTAAGATTTTCTAACACAAAATTGGTTATGTGGTTTGTGGGGTTTGGTTTGGTTGGTTGGTTTGGTGTTTTTTTTAATCTGCATGCTTTTATACAACCATAATTCCTTGGACTACTGCAAGCTTTGCAATTGTATTAGAAAAACACACGCAACAAGATCCTTCAACACAACCATGCTGGATGCTCACTGGACAGCCCAACTTCAGACCAACTTCTCACACCATCTCTTTCCACTTACATTTTCGTGTTTCATGTGCTTCAGTAGCCGCAGCTCTCGGTAGGTCCTTTTGGCGTGTATGATAGACTGAAATGGTCGGGACAGCTTCTTTACAGCCACACGCAAGCCAGTTTTTGTGTCAAAGGCAGAACTATAATAAAGAGTAATCAAATTATCAATATTCATTATTAACAAACACCTTCATATCTACACTTAGCAACCCCAGACAGCAACTATCTGGACACTGAGTCACAGTCAACACCATTTCTCCATTTCTGCAATGAAATTAATCTCTAGGCATCCTGGTCCACAACCTGCACCCCTGCCCAAAATCCCCACACATTTACACAACTGTTGGTTTCTACAGAAAATGTTTAAAAGCTCAGTCTTGTTCACATAGTAAAGTGAGGTTTTGTACAAAAAAATAAATGTTTATGGCTCTTCTGTGTAAAAACAGTTGCGGTCCTAAACATAAATACGGCAATAAAACTGTGGAGAGAGGCAGACTACTTGTAACTATTATTTGTATTCCTAAACACATTTTCATACACCATACCATCACAAAACGCTATGCTCAAGACAGTATCTTTTGTGGTTTAAGTCTGTACGAAAATCCAAGGCCTGTGCCCAATAAAATCAACTACGACGACTGTTAATCACAACTGAAGCTGAAATCAAACCTCTCTGGTACATCACATCTAATTCTAAACTTCTGTTACACAAAAATGCATGAGACTAAATGATATTTAGCTGTACAGTACCAAAACTTGTCCCTTTAGCAGAAACTTCTACATCAAACCTGCACATATAAAAAATGTTTCTTCCTAGAACCCATGAAAACTAACTCCATCCTGTTTGGTAACTTTATATAGAGAGAGTTAATATTTCGTACTCTAAAATCCTCTTTTGAAGTAAGTCCTTACACAACCTATTTATTTATACTATTAAGAAGCAAAAGCCTGATACTTTCAAAACTACTAAGAATTAAACCACGAAGAACTATGATAAATTTCTGACACACTGCATAAGATCTTCCAGAGCTCAGGGCTTATATGCGAGGAACTAAAGAAACGTAGGTATTTAGCTGTGAACCAAATTACTCCTCTTTCTTCTCTTCTTTGATGTTCTTATCTAAAACAACTCTAGTTTGTCAAAAAGAGAGGAGGAGGAGAAAGAGAGGATGTGAAATCAAGGTTACACTTGATTCAAGATGATAAACAATGGGAAAGTACAGAATGGAGAAAAGTCAGAGAAAGACCTTATTTGTTTATTTTTCTGCTGCATTTTGATCCAGGGACAACTCCTGATTCCACTTACAAGTGAGTATGCACTAGTTCTTGATAAAGATCAAGTGAAAAGGAAAGCTATACCGTTCTCAATGTAAACTGTGAAGCAGCTTAACTAACAGAGAGTTCAAAACCAACCATAAAAGTAGTCCTAAAAGGAAACCACAAGTGCACACACAGCCTTCATCCCTGCCAAAGAAGCTATCTGAACTAAGTGTACTTGTCATTTATTTTTAAAGCAACTAACTGGAATTAACTTGCAAAAAGACTCCTCCTCTCAAAGTTGCTCACTTCCAAGGAACTTGCTCTATGAGGTTTACAAGAAATAGAAAACAAAACACAAGCTTGTTTCCACGAACAGCGATCCCTGCCCCGGGGCCTGCAAGAGAATGAAGAACCCTCCATGCATGAGGGAGGCAGAGCATCTCCTCCTCTAGGAAGGGGCACCTGGATTCACACCGTGGAAAGAGCTCTCTGGAAAGGATCTGAAGACACAGCTAGGCAGAAGATCACAGGAGCACCAAACTGTCGCAGCTGAGTTACTCAAGCTAGGCCATACTGTCTCAGAGAACGCCTGTTACCAGCCTCTTCCACACGAGCTATCCTTCACACCTCGCTCAGCCTGGGCAGACAAGAGAAGCCATTAAGCATTGATTTTTCAATCTTCATTTCAAATGATCCACAGCAAGTCTTCACACACCACCAGAACATCGATACTTACACTGCAACACTCTAGGAAACATAGAATACAATTTTTTTTACACTTCAATACATCATTTTGCAATATACAAACATATCTAATTCAGACTGCAATTATATGGCAATCTTTTCATGATATTCAAGGTGTTTTCTAGGATTTAGAGCAAAAATCAGATTAGTCATCACAAGTCAACACATGTTACTGTGAATTAGTCATGAATCTTTACCAGCGTTCAAACATTTCAGGTACAAAAGGCAGCATACACCAGTATCTCTTTCATCCTGAGAGGGAGGGGATCCCCTGCATATTAACCCCCTTCACGGTGACACAGTCAGATTTCTCTCTTGGTTTCCACAAGATTCCCTTCAGAGAAGACTCCAGAGCCACCAGACACAACATCAGCTATTTCAGTGTCCAAAGGAAATGCAATGTCACCTTCTTTTCAACGCTGTTTCTGGGGTCGTATCAAGTCGTTGTTCTGCTGTAGTAGATGTACAGCCTCCATGGAGAACCGCAACCAGCAGAACCGCGAAACTGTTTAACCAGCACAATGACATTGTGCACAAGCCCAGGAAAGAAAATTTTGTTTTACTGCACATTTGCAATCTAGAATTGCTCTTGAAGTCAGAAGAATTCTATGTTCGGTCATGTTTGAGGCCCAAAGATTATTTCCCTGCAGATACAGGCACGCCGAGTAACTTTCTGCCAATACAGATAACCGCCTAATGGCTTTCCTGAGTACGGAACGCAGAGCTACAGAACAGCTGTCATGCTGGAGAACGTTTTAAAGAACACTAAGCTGGCTTTCATCACAGACTTAAAACAGCTGCATGACACTGATCATCTTTCAGCTAAATAAGTCCAATTGGGAAAAAATTGCATGATCCACTATTTTAGACCCCTTTTAAAACAAGATCAGTACAAACTCAGAATTTATCACAGCTTCCACGTTTTTTAGCCTCTTACATAGTATTGCGCTACAGCACACCAACTGCATCCATCTCATCCTGAGCGAGCTGAAACTACAATTCTGAGCTACCCTGAATCGAAACCAGAACACAAGAGCCAGAATAAAACAACTATTTTAAAGAACCTATCCACTGATTAGCTTGTATCTTCTAAGAAGTAACACGTGAAGTAGTCTGAAGTACTGACATATGCACAGAATTACTTAAGGGTACAATTTATTTAAACATTAGATATCAAAATGTTCATTTTTGTACAAAGACTATTTTGCTAAACAGTATGCTGCTCATCGCTAGCACCTATGCAAATATGTGCTCACACTAATTTCATTTCTTAATATATAAAGTTCCCACAAAGTTCAAAATACTTGCCTTTGCTTTCAGAGCTCTGCTCAGGGCTTTTCTGTGCGTGCCCATCTCCTACTTGATCCCCCTTCTTCACGTGTGTTCTGCTAACCCTACCTGTACGGCTGCTTCATCCCACTCACTTCCATAGCTCTCTTCGTATCACTCCTCACCTCTCTACCATATCTTCCTGGAGAAGCAGGCACCTGACCCTCCAAATGCATGCAAACTTTGGAGGCATTTGCACGCTTTGATAAGGGATTACCAAGCCTAAAGGTGCACATTGGCAAAAAACCAAAATAAATCCACAGAGGAACTGTTACTACAAAGGTGATATTTAAGGCTGATATTTCATTTCCTCTGGAGCCTGATGTTTTAAAAATTTCTTAAATCCACTGTATTCTTCTGTTGGTTTAAAGAGAGGGGAATTATCTCAGTATCATCGTAATACCCAGGAAATTCAGAGTCAATACTGGTACAACTGTGGGTCAAAATGGGAAGAAATCCCATTTTGGAATTTTGGAAGGGCCATATAACCTCACAGTCTACAAACAAAAAAAGCTAAAAACTTCTTATGCAAGATTCTGAGGAAGACTGAGTCTTGGCTGTTCAATTCCTTTCCAAATTAAATAAGGCAATACAGATAACCTGCAAAACAATCAAACCACAAACCTTCTTTCACAAACATATCAACACAGCACACGAAGAACTGCTGCAAGAAATACAACAGCAAAGCAAAGTCCTCCGAGTGCAACAAGTCCGCCTGCACAGCGTTTTGGAAACTGGTGGCAAAGATCGTCGGAGCATCTGCTTGCTTAGCTTAGAGCTGGCTGAACTCACGCCGTTCGCTGAGCCTTCCCTCCAGCACACCACAGAAACGCAGTGATCCTCCAGCTAAACTGTGAGTCACCAATCGATCCCATCTCCACCCGACACCTTCCCACTGCAAGATGCTGCATTAGCTAGGCCCCTCTCCTCCTCACACGGAGTATTACAAGCCTGGTACTTCAAGAACCCACATGTGTGTTGGTGCAGACCTTGTTACAAAATCTTTTCCATGCAAAAGACTATGCTGTATAAACAAACAAAACTGTTGCAAGAATAAATGAAATGGCATTTCACACAACAGATGTCACAGCAATCGTTACATGACTTGGTAATGAACAATCTGAGGATATACATCAACGTTTCTCGAAGCTTTGGAACTGTATCCCTACTTGCATCTCCACATACTCGCAGTTTTTGAAAAACATCTCTTGAAAAATACCCAAGTTGGCCGTTTGAACCTCCTTCTTCCAATACCGCACGCAACACTTCTGAAAACACTGGAATATCTGCCTTAAGTTTAAGCACATACCTTGGGTGCCTTCAGCTGCCTGCAGAAAACGCCCCTCTCTCTCCATCCACTGACTACGATAAAGCCAGGTTCTCTCATGAGGGTGTTCCGAGTCATACTCGCATTAGACAGTTAAAGCAGCTGCAGCAGACAGCTCCATAGTCGAAATGATTCATCTGCTGGCTTAATTCTTTCTATTAATTTTTCCCCCCACTTCCTAGAAATTCCTCTTTTTTTTATGTCTCATCTTGACAACTACATAAACAACAGAGCATTATATTACATTCTAATGCAATAATGCAGCAGACACACATGAAAGTCTATTTAACCATTCAGTTGAAGGGTGGTTAAACCCCCAACAATTTACTAACCCAAGACAGAGGTACACCAAACGCAAAGTCTCAGATTAAACTAGGGAACTTTTCACTGGGGAGAAAAATCTCAGAAGGGGCAGAGGCCAGAACAAGTCATTGCAGGAATATCCTGAATACTATGCACCACCACTGGCAGCTTAATAAA